AAAGAATTGTAAGCCACATGAAGAGGTCCTGCAGAAGACAGAGCTATCAATGAGTAGAAAGAGCACAGTTCAAGCCCCACCTGTAAGGCAAATCTTTTCATAAACACTGATAAGTTATTTATGTTCACTCCAAGGGTTTAAGTTTTAGAGTACACGAGAAAAATTATGTTCATCCAAGTATGGTTAACTTCAGAGAAAAAAAGTCTGAAATAAACTTTTTAAGCTGTACAAAGATTATTTAAGTAACCAATGACTTATTCAGTAAAATAAAACCTTACTAATATACTCTACATAAATGTAAAATTCTAATATTAAAGATATTAGATTCAATTAAATTATTCCACATTAAGATTGCTAAGTACAGCATTTAATTGTTTAATTGTAAGCACTTTTTAAGTTTTGGTTAAAAAAAAACAAACAAAAAAAAAACAAACAAAAAAAAATCAAAATACTTTAGTATGTAGAAAGAAGAAGAGCCAAAACAGATCAATGATATAAAATAACCACAGACAACCACAGTTAATAGGTTAACACTTACAGTACTAAACAAAAAATGTCTTATTGCAAGCAATAATGCTGTTCTATAATACAAGAATACACTAAAACTACCAAAATAATGAACACAACACCAAAGAAAATCAGAAAAGTGGATTAATCTAGGCAGTAGTACGCAGGTAATTCAAATAATTTATGAAACCTTCCTTAAAAAAAGCAGATATGAAGTAAACAGAATTGAAGTGAATGTGTGAAATGTAGCATTAATGCAGCTTCACCAACTCCATAGACAATGGAAAACCATATGTAGCTACTACTTGGATGCAATCCCTGCTCAGCTTATAGGCTAACAAAGCTAACAGCAGCTAGCTTTGTCACTCAACACACAAAAACAAAACGAAGCAAAACAGAGTAAGAGAGAGAACAAGAGAGCAGGAGAAGGAAAATGTGTGAAATGATCGAACTCAGCTGACCAGCAGTGCAGTTCTTCACAGAACCCAATGCAAGATGATCACATGGTTTAAATTCAAAGGAAAGTTTAAGCAAAACCCCTTTAGGAGCAAATATCAGCATTAAAATGTCGTTTAATTAAGCCACTGCTTAAACAACCCAGAAGGTTTTACTTGTGTTGTTCCTTCCTGTGAGGTGTAGCAGTTAGGAGAAGATATAAGAAAGCTATTCTCCAGCAGAGAGGCAAAGCAGATTACTGCGGTTTACATCTCAACTATAGCTCTATGCTGCAGTAAGGGAGGCAGAGCTCCCCACCTTTGACCTGGTTGCCATATACCCCTTTAACACTGGTGGAAAAACTGGTTTAAACCCATAAACAATTGGCTTTTTTTGGCAGTGGGAACAGGTCACTGACGCGTGTCTACCCGGGACAAATAACTGGGGAAGTGGCCCGCATTAAAATCGCCTGGGCTCTGATTGACAAGCAATAGGAACACCAGACCTGGGTTACGTGACACCATTGACCACAACGTACAGCCGTAAGCACACCACACCAGTCACTTCTGATTTAAAAAGATAAAACAACTCTGGTTACATTTATGATAAATAGAGCAGCAATGGTAAGATGATTCGGAAAGATAATAGAGTAAAAAAAATATAAATACTGACTATGCTCTAGCTCCTGTCCATGTTGCTCTCCGTTATTTACTTCCCTGATTTCCGTCACTCTGTCGACATCATCAACGCTCACCCAGGGTGGTGCTGTCATCAGACACACAGTCGCCACGCAGCTCGTCAGCAGGAGGTCAGACTCGGCTTTTCAGTCAAATGGAAAAAGAGCCAAAAGCCGATTGTTAGTGGGTCAACCCAGTTTTAAAAATCCCGTTTTTTTTTGTGGGAAAGCCACTATAAAGAAAGGAGCATGCAGCTACTGTGAGCTCGCAATGGTTGCAGATTTTGCAATGTAAAAAGGCCACCTGGCCAAGTGATCCAAGGTAACATTGGCTTATGGACTAGTAATTAGGAACAGCAATTAGTCGACTTTCAGAAAGGAGGAATTTTTCATCTCCATTTATCAGAGGCTGTTTCATCTCAATTGGCACGGTTTGACTTGGCAGACGATCAGGAAGCTCTAAAGACAATGTGATTGTGCAGGTTCCATGTTTGATGAAGTTTTTACTGCAAAGGAATGAAAAGGGGAGATTGCTGCAGGTTTGACCAGAAAAAAGCAAAGCACCACAAAGTTAACGTGTGATTCCAACAAAGGAGCTCAGCTGAGTTTCATCTCCTTGGTGCAGCTGCCAAAGACACTGGATTGGAATTTTGTGTTCATTTCTAACACCTCTGCTGTGACGTTGGAAGTGCAAGGCATTCTGGGAGCTGTAGTTACAGTTTGTTTATTATAAATTTGGCACAACAAATGTAAAATCTTCATTGGTATTACACCATTTGACCCCTTTTGCTGATATTTTAGAAATAATTTTTAATTCAATTACAAGAATGTCTTCTCCAACAAGAGTATAGAAACAATCCAGAACTTGACATAATTCAGAGAAGTGTGATGTTTACTTGTTAAGTATATTTTGAAATGATGCAGCAGAAGAGAATATTTTACATTCTGTAAAAAATCTGTTACAGTATATCTTTGTCCTAATTTGGTATGTACAAAAATGACTAATATTTATTTTAAAATGGATAAATAGAGAACAGTGCAACATCATATGATATTCATCGAAATGTCAACATTCTGCAGGATTATTTTGTGACACCATAGAGACCAGAGCTGTGGTCTCACTGCTCCACTTTTCTCTGCTCCTTTTGAATACATGACAACTTTTCCATGATTAATGACTCTTTGGGGCTCATGGTGTTTGCGTGCATTTGTGAGCATCCTGTTCTTATTTTATACAGAAATCTACACACATATTCACCATCTGAGACTATAGATGATAGATGCATGGGCATTCAGGGATTATTTAAAGACAGGACAGTGAATATAGCCTGATCAGTTTAGTGTATTGGTTAGGTATTGTCAACATAAACAGAAAAGGAAGGGCATCCTTTGGATTCAAAAGAAAAGCGGAAGCTTTCGCTCCATGATTTGGGTCAAAAAATGAGAGCTGTTGTGGCCCTGCTCCTGAGTCCTGGCTGCGATCCTGGAGCCATGAAAAAGAGCCTTTACAGACAGCCTTCTCTTAGAATGCTGAGGGTGGTGGGGGTGGAGGTGGGGCTTGAACATACATAAGAGGCGAAGACAGTCCGCCAGTCCAATTTGGCACAACTTCACCAGACAATTTGCTGAACTAACACCAGGCAGCTGATTGGATCTTTTCACTGATTTAGAACTTTTTCTTTTCCTCTTAAGAGGCTTGTAAGAAAATAATCACTTGGTTAGGTCATTTCTGGATGAGGAACTGCACATCAGTGATGAGCGGGAGCAGGTTACTCAGAACTGAGGCTTTGTCTTGGCTGTCAGCTACAGGAAATGTGTCTGGGGGCGCATCCTGTGGCTTAGTTCTACAGCCTCTTTGGGACTACCTACACCAGAACCACCATGATCTGCTCAGGAGCCCGCTCTTCCCTGTGGTCCTCTCAGTCTCTACCTACTTCCTCCTGGTTGGAATCTATACCATGCTGGACCTGCTGGCTCCCACTTGGCCCTCCATCAACCGTTACCGGCTGCATCCAGACAAACCTGTCACCTGGCCAAACATCTGGACCACCTTGGGCATCACCATCTACAACCACCTTTTCTTCATCTTTCCTGCGGCGGTTGCACAGTGGCTGTGGAGGCCACCCACTCCTTTGACCAGAGACGCTCCGTCCCTCTGGAGCTTTTTTCTCGGCATCCTGGGGTGCATGGTCGTCTTTGATTTCCAGTACTACCTGTGGCACCTTCTGCACCACCGTGTTCCCTGGCTTTACCGCACCTTCCACGCCATCCACCACCAGTACAACCAACCCTTTAGCCTGGTGACTCAGTACCTGTCTGGCTGGGAGCTGTTTAGCGTGGGATTCTGGGCGACAGTAGACCCCATCCTGCTGAATTGCCACTGCCTCACAACTTGGGGTTTTATGGTGTTCAATGTTTACGTCTCCACCGAGGATCACTGCGGTTATGACTTCCCTTGGGCCATGCACAACCTGGTCCCTTTTGGTCTTTGGGGCGGAGCCCCCAAGCACGACGCTCATCACCAACGGCCCGGGACAAACTATGCTCCATTCTTCTCCCACTGGGACTGGCTGGGGGGAACAAACACAATGCCAACTGCCTCGGGCTTTTCTGCCTCAGATGAGCCAGAAGAGCTGAAAGAGAAAAAGGACTGAAGAAGAACACATTTTCCATTGACTTTGCTTCTCATTATCCCAAGTTATGGTTTTCGCACTTTTCACATTCAAAAACTTGTATTTGTTCTTTCAATACTCTTGGAACTTAATCCAATGTTTTTGTCTTTCTCTGATCTTCAATGCAATTTCACTAACTGGCACTTTTCCTCTGCTAGAAAGGTTTCTGTTATATTTTTATTGATTGCTAAAAATGCAGTTTTTTTCCTTGAAGCAAAGTGATTGCATAAGATTCTCAGTTTGTGCTTTTTTCATAAAATTTCTCACTTATGTAAATGTATTGATGTGTTTCCACTTGCATTTATCTCAGCTCAGGTCAGGTTTCATGCATGTGTCAAAAAATGTTTGATAAATGAAATGAAAAATAAAAGTGTAGATCTGCTTTGGAAAACGTTCCTGATTGGTTCATCCTAATTATTGGTAAATGTGATTTGCTGGTTGGGATTGATAAAGACGCGTTAGCACAGACGCTCCTCCTCAGCACTGACCCTCTCGCTTGCACACATGAATGGCCGTCTTTTAGCTGCATCCCAGCATCAAGCGTGGTCGCAATGCTAATCCATTAGTCTGTCTTTTGAACAAAATGCTCCAGCTGGAAGAGCTCTTAATGAGGCTCCTCACAGGGAAGTGTATGTGGAATGTGCAGCCTGCAACTGGAAAAAATAGTCTGGAATGTATTTGAACGTGTGCGTCACCATAACTAAGGAAATCAGCGCCATGGGTCACTATAGAGAACCTTTTATGAAACATACCTTTTTTTACACAGACATACATATACCACATGTAAATCCGCCTTTCATTTAGAAACTAACCACTTGTACAGTGATTAGTTTTTCACACTCCTAAAAAAAAAAAAAAAAAAGTATATATTTTCAACATTTAAGCCAGCAGATGTCTCCCTTGCTGCAAAAAACAAACAACAACAAAAAAAAGCCACATGATTCCATATCCAGGATTACAGTACAAGTTCAGATTTACCTATATGAAAATATTGTGTCATTTTATATTGTATTTAGTTACACAGAACAGCAAATGACTCATGGAATAAAGGGACTTACAGAGGATAGAAACGCTTCCTGCTTCCTCTTGTTTACCAACACGCAAAGCGTAATGAGGTCAAAACTGGTTGAACATGTTTCTGGTGTAAAAGGAGATTGTTACTGCATGCCAGCACACTGGAATGATTTATTAATACACTCCAGGCGTGCCTGTCTGAGAATTTGAGCGTAACTTCTCTAAATTAGTCCAGTTCTCAGGTCTTTACACTGGCTGCCGGTCCATCAGAGAATAGACTTTAAAGTTCTGTTGCTGGTCTATAAAGCTCTGCATGGTTTAGGCCCAAAATACATCAGTGACCTCTTGACCCAGTATGAACCTACTAGACCCCTCAGGTCATCCGGATCCTTTTATCAGTTCACAGAGTCAGAACCAGACATGGAGAGGCTGCGTTCAGCTTCTATGCTCCACATGTCTGGAACAAACTCCCAGAAAGTCTCAGATCAGCTGAAACACTTAGTTTATTTAAATCCAGGCTGAAGACTCACCTGTTCTCAGCTGCATTTACGTAGATTTTATTCAAAAGTTAAAATTCGTCCGTCTCTGTATTCTCTCTTTTTAATTTTAAATGTTTTTAATTTTGAATCACGCTTTTAATTATTTTTAATTGTTTTCTTTCCCTTTTGCTTATAATGTTTTATGTAAAGCACTTTGAATTGTTCTGTACATGAAATGTGCTATACAAATAAACTTGCCTTGCCTTGCCTTGCCTAAATAGTAGGATACAGAGATTTAATCCCTAAATCTGTGGCAGACAAGCATCTATGATAAGAAGTAATCTTAGTAGTAGTAGGGTAAAATAAATGTGATCAATATCAAAGCTAATTGGTGCCTAACAATAGATCAGTCCTACAGTCTTCCTCTCAGCTGGACTTTCTTCTGCACTTAAACTTTTTTTAAGCCTTGAAGCAGAAGTAGACGTTTATCACGTAAAAGCATCATGTCGCTCCTGCACAGTAGTTGGTGCTACAGCATGCAGTGGTGTAAAAAAGTGCAAATACATTTACTCAAATAAAAAGTAGAATTTTAATTTCAAACAATAAATGTTTCAATTTAAAATATGATAATAATAATTATCATTTTTGTTAAAGTAGCTTAATTAACTTTTTGTAAACAAAAAGAAAATCCCTCTGATCCATTACATAAAGAAAAGGAGGAATCGTTGCCATAAAACTGTTCTATGATTTAAAAAGTGTCTTTATAAAAGAAAAATCAACACAAAAATAAAACATTTTAACCATTTTATTTATAAAGTACAAGATTCACAACACACGATTTTGTTTCATTATCATAAAATTGTCTATAAGCTGAAAATTACATCCACTGTTAACATTTCCTTTGTGCTTGACATGTATTAAGAAACAAGTTTAGAAATTTTGATTGCAAATGATTGCTTAAGAAACAAATTCATTCTTATAGTCTGTGCCCCCAGCGAGGTCGAAACCCCCCAACAATAAAAGCTTAGCTACGCCACTGCTTACATCTATGCTTCACAACATTTCTTATTTTTATTGGGTAGGACAAGATCCTCCTGAATTACCAAACACATTCAACAGCTAATTGTTTCTAAAGTCATGTAGTGCACCTTCTGAGAAACATATATAAAAAAATCCATTGCAACGTTCGGCCACTATGCAATAAATACATACACTCTCATAAACACAAACCTTAGTGTGTATTTTGGGTTTTAGTTTAACAGGTCAAGCTGAAAGAAAAGATTTTTCCCTCAAAAAATCAATCTATAAAGATGTTTCGAGCATTTGTATTCAGCTTTCTGTTAGCAAATATGTGGGTATTTGCAGTATTTGCTTTTATTCAGGTATTTTGGGAAAAATGAGACCCTAAATCCTCTGCAGCCTCTAAAAGGTTTTCTTCCACAACATTTCTGTTCGGTATTTGGCTCCATCCATCTTTCCCTTTAAGGAAAAGTCGGGTGACATTCAGAATACAAACTTCTGAAGGTACTTTAAGTATGAAATCATTACCTACTGTTCAATAAAATGATAAGTGTTTTTAATTAAGAGTAACTTTCATTTGAATTTGCTTTACTGGAGACATCCATGTTTGTCAAAGAACACTACTCCCGTCTACCGGTTTGTGACGTCACGGTGCGGTATCGGCTGTTGAGCAAGTCCCAGTTCTGTATCTGGTGTTTGTCACAACAATTATCTATGATGGTGATGACCAGTGCACTATGCGAAGCAGAGAGTAACAGATTAATGATGTGTTTTTTCTTTGGCAAATTATCTCCAGAAGTTAGTAATCCAACAACGAACCCGTGGTGGATCATGAATCAAAACAGTTAAATAACTAATTTTTTTTACTTTTACCCGATGTATTGCAACATCCAATTGCCATTTACGTGAATTGAATTCAATGGTGAAGTTCTCTGGAAATTTTAAATAATTGTTTTTGATTGCAGGTGTGGATAATACTTCCCATTGATTTTGCTTGTAAAGCGCGGAGAATGGCGAAAGGCCGCTCCGTGACGTCACTGCTGGAAGATATAAGGCGTGAAATGTTACGATATTTGGGCAAAAATAGCCGTTCCCGGACTCAGTGATCGCACTGAAAAATATTGTTTATATTTTTTAAACTTATTAACGCTAAATTCATTAGATCAACGTGAAGTTTCACCGTAGTTTTATGTATAAATGATGACGCATTGGTTATTCCTTGCTGACCGGACTTTTCCTTTAAATGTATTTATATCAAGAGGCTTTGACATGTTGCAGATATTTATTAATTGAGCTCTTTATCCCTGCAGTCCCCCCCAAAGTTCCACCTCTTTGATCAATGCCATCTTTGCAAAGCCTGACAGTTTATTTAGACCAATGGTAGGTCAGAAGTTGTGCCATATTCTTATTCTAGAAGAATACATTTTACAGCTCTTACTCCTGTTCTAAACTTCTCCACAATAACATTAGTTCTCTAATGCGTTTGTTAGAATCAATTGGACGCAGGTTTATTAAGGTCTTCTGAAGGCAGTGGACCGCACAAAAATGGGAAACTAATAGCTAATATGCAGCATATTAGAATCTGAGATGTATGTATTTTATATAAATCAGCCACCCAGATGGAAGTGGGAGTGGTGGACTAGTGGTTACGGCATAGAGCTTTGAATCCTGAGGGTCTGAGTTTGAGCTCTACTCCCACAGACTGCCACTCTGGCTCTCTAAGCAAGACACTAAGCCCAACAGAGATAAGTTCAACACAGAATGTAATGTCTCCAATGTGAGATCAATAAAGTTCAATTACCCTCCTGCATCTATTTTGTGTTGATCTAAAGAATACAATTAGACCGAATTTAAAACATAAATGACAAAACATCAAATAACTTTTTGGAATAGAAACATTTTAGCGAGCTAACTAAGGGCTATTTCCCACAGTAAACAGGACACCATTCAGTCAGAAAAATTTGAAAACCGCAAAGCAGAGGTCATTTTAATAGTGACGTTTTGCATTTAAAAAGTTCATGGTTCTAATAATGTAACATCATCGTGTGAGTTCACTATATCCTCTTAACACTATCCTGCTGGTGTGTGGATCAGCAGTATATTCATTTTTTTATGCACAGCTTATTTTAGTGTTAGAGGAAAACTTCCTCATAATCGTAATCAGCACGCTATAAACAAACATCACTTCTGCAAGAACAAAACATGTCAGACTGAATTTTAGTTTAACTAGGATTAGGGTTGGTAAAAGTAAATGTTTGCCAGATAGATTACAATTGGGTGGTTATATAATTCAATTCAGTTCAGTTTGTTAATATAGCACCAATTCACAACACATAGAATAAAATAGAATGGAATAGATTAGAATTCAACTTTATTGTCACGAGTACAAAGCAAAGAAATGTTGTTTGCATCTATCCAGAAGTGCTATACAGGATATACATATTATAACAGGTGTATGTACAACCAAAACGTAATAGTTAGGGACTGTAAAAAGTTGTGTATAAATATAAATATTTTTATATATTTTTTATATAAATATTTTTATATTTATACACAACAAAACATTTTCATGTTTTGAGAGGCCAACATTTTAGCGGTAGTAGATAACAGTCTCAGTCACTTCAGTTTGATGGAACAGAGCTAGCTTTAGAGCCAACTTAGTAAAAGTTCAGGTTCAAAACAAAAGTAGACATTAGCCAGTGAAAAATGACTCCAGCCTCTAAAGGTTGTCATTATAAATGTCAGGTAAAATCTCATATTCTAACCATTCAACAATTCTTTTTCCATATGAAACACTCTAAGAGCAAAAAAGTCAGGATATTGCATAACTAATCCGTTTTGAAAAAGTTATGTGTCTAATCAGATTCCATTAGCATGTTCAGTGTGCAGTACTTTTCCACTGTGTAGTCCCATAATTGTTGCAGCTCTTAGATCAGCAGAAAAACATAGACATGTATGTCAATTTTCTTTTAATTGAACTTTTAAATCATTAACAGACCCATAGAAATCAAGAAATCTCAGTGGACAAGATAGATAAACAAGAAAAAAAACATACAATATAAATACCCAGAGGTGTCAAGTAACAAAGTAGAAATACTTTGTTACCTTACTTTAGTAGAAATTTTGCTTATCTATACTTTAATTGGAATAATTACTTTTTAGACGGCTTTTTTACTTCTACCAATTCAATCTTTTTGCAATTATCTCTACTTTTCTACTCCTTACATTTTAAAAATAGGCTAATCAAATTTTTTTTTTATTTAAGCTGATTTTCGTTATGGCCTGGTGGTATTTAAAAAAATAAGAAAAGTCAAAATAATTTGTTTCATCCAGACAATTTCCAAAAAATAAAAAAAAACAACAACAATCCACTTGTCGATTCAAAAACAAGAAAGAGTAAGTGCTGCAAAGCCTCAAACTCAACGCTATTTCTGACATTTTGAATTGAAAAAGCTTCCAGGTTGGGAAGCGAAATGTCTTCAATCTTGGAAACAAAGTCCATTGGATTGTTTTTTTTTTTGCAATGACTATGACCTGGATGACTGAGAATCTTCACCAGCACATCCAGACAATTCATTTCTTTGTGGTTGGAATCGGTGCTGCACCAACTTGTTTTTCCCCACATACCAAAATATATCGTTTTGCAAGATTATGCAAAGCTACATTTCACACTGCTGTCATTAGTCATAAAAATAAGAAAAGTTTAAGTGAATTATCTTCCAGAATTGTAGAAAAATGTTCCTGTAATAAGGTAGTGCAGTAACCAGTATATGGTTTAAAGCATCTGTCCTTAATGTTTTTTACTGAATTACTTTTACTTTTATACTTTAAGTAGTCTTAAAAATGGCACTTTTACACTTTTATTTGAGTAAAAACTTAAGTTGATACTCTAGCTTCTATAAAAGTGTTTTTAAACAGCAGGATTTCTACTTCAACTTGAGTAATGAACATTAATACTTTTGACACCATACATAAGATGTGAGAACTTCAACAAATAAAGAGCACTAGCAGGAGAACATTTAAAACGTATTTATTTCAGACTTAAAATACAGACAATCTTCAAGGAATTTGATTAGGGCTTTCTTAAGACAGAGCGGAGGGCTTTCAGCTAAACAAGTTCTGACAGCTTCAGATCAGATTGGGCATTCCAAGCAGCAGGGGGAAGGAACACTAAGTTGTTCTCCCTGTTTCAGTTTGAACATGAGAACCATAAAAAAACAACGAGAAATGAATACTAATGTCATGGCAACAAAAAATGTTTAAACTGTTCCAACAAAAAAGTTTTTTTTGGCTGAACTCTGCTTTCATCAAGCGAATTAAAAAAACTGCATTATTATTTTTTTATGAGTGAAGAAATTAAAGAAATCCCTTCTATAGTCAAAAGACTTAAAGTTAAAAGCAAGATCAGAGTTTTTGAAAAACAATAATTGGATTAATAGTGCATCATGTCCTCAAATTACTCAAATTAAAGACTTATTTTAATTAATTTTGAGGGGGGAAAAAACAATCCAAATGGGCCCTGTGTAAAAATATAATATTATAATTAGTTCAGTCTTTGTGCAGCTCAGCCTAATGGCCTTTTTAACATCTATGTGTCATTACTGCCAGACATTTAGGCTCAACATATTATCCATGATATTACAAAAACATGACTAATAAAGCCTTGGATATCTGTCATTCTGGAAAAGGGTTAGCCTTTAAGATTCCAGTAAAGAACATTCAGTCATTTCCAAAAAAAGTTGGAAAACAAGGAAGCGTAAAGTACCCCATAAGAAGTGAGAAAGCAAACAGAAATTCTTAAATAGTGATTTGATAATTCATTCAGGTCTTAGTAAAGGAGAGAGTTCATAAATCAACAACAGAGGCTGGGTGCAAATGACACCCATAACAGTTTTATCAGGAAAACAACTTCCCATCAGATGTTTCCCAAAACACAACTTGATAAATCCACAATGCTTGAAATTAAATATCCTGTGGATTTAAAAAAGATGTAGTTGTCTAGTTGCTTCAGACTAAGCATGACTGGATGGGAGGAATTCTGCCTTTAATTAGAATATAGTGCAATGTAACTTCATCTAGGTGAGTCCCCTGAGATGACACTGTGATACTTAAACACACAGGGAGTGCATCCTGATAAATATATGAAACTTGCACAATTTCAGAGAAAATAACATCATACTGAATGTGAAACATGGTGATGGTAGTATCATGGCCTAGGGCTGTCTAGTTGCTTCAGACTAAGCATGACTGCGTGGGAGGAATTCTGCTTTTAATCAGAATATAGTGCAATGTAACTGAGTCCCCTGAGATGAAACTGTGATATTTAAATACACAGGGCATTCCAAATACTCAACAGCAGTTGTTATTGCAAGAAAATAGCTTCTCTCCTTGAAAAAAACAAAACAAAAAAAGGAGAAAAAAAAACATTGCAGAAATCAAATCACCACACAAAAAGAAGAAATACGTTTCACAGTGCTTTAAATGCTATACTACGGAAGAGGATAAGGGCCACTGAAAAAAAAAAAAAAGTTAACTGATTTTTTAAATTTTATTTCAGTATAGTATGGGAAAAGAGTCAGAATTCTGAGGAAAAAGTCAGAATTCTGACTTTAATCTCAGAATTCTGACTTTAATCTCAGAATTCTGACTTTTTTATTGTCAGAATTCAGTCAGAATTCTGAGAAAAAAGTCAGAATTTTGACTTTTCCCCCATGTTAAACTTGAAATAAAATTTAAAAATCAGTTAACTTTTTTTTTTTTCAGTGGCCCTAATCCTCTTCCGTACTATACTGTAGGTAAATGGAACCTTTGTTATCAAGTCGACCAAACTAACTGGGGCAAGATGCAGATAAAGTCGAATGACAAGATTAAGAAATTGGGCAAATTTAATTAAATGTACAAAATCATCATTTTTTAAAAGACTCAGTCTGTATTCAAGAATAAAATATTTAATTTTCATTTAATTTTGGTCTACATCCTAATGGAGGACCCGATTTTCAATTGCATATTTTAAATTAATTAAAGAGGATTTTAAAATGTATTTTAATATCCCATATCTTGAGATGAAACATTTTTTTTCAATTCATAAAACTATTTATGCATTGAAAAAGTATTTAAGGATTATTGCCATCATGTTGTGATACAAGTGTGGCCGTCCACCTAATAATAAAGTTGGTTTAGGGACCAGGAGGGTCACTAAAAAAACTAAATGGAAAAGAGAAACTGCTAAGGAAATGTGCAGGGACAAGAAGGTTCAGAGAAAGCTAACTGTATAGATGCTGATGAAGATTATCAGTCATCCAGGTCATAGTTATTCCGTAAAAGTAAAAAAAAATATCCACTGGACTCTACCTCTAACTGTATAGAATTAAAATAAAGAGAATGCAGTTACAGAAAAGACAAGAAAATTGTATTATTTTGCTTATTATTTTACTTTTTGAATTTAATTTTTTTTTTTTACATTTGATCTTTAATAATCTACTAAACAATGTTTTGCAAATTTGATTTTTGTACAATTTGAAATGTTTGAATTTTTTTTTTTGGTGACTCTCCTGGTCTTCCATACATCCTTCTTACATTAAAAACTTTACACTGTACTAGTGGAAGTTGTTTAATAGCATCTATGTTCTATATGTAGCAATGTTTTGCACTATTGTTTAATTCATCTCTTGCTCTTTGGTTCCTTTCAGACGGTATTCAGCCACAGCCGTTTGTAAAAGAGCTGTGTTGGTGTAATGTGAGCAGGGTGCGGCTTTCCTCTTAAAGGACGGCATTCTGCTCTGACAAAAGGTAAGGTGACACTCCGAGCCAATGATTTACCCAGGGTTCTGCAGCACTACATGTTTAACCTGGAGGGGGATGGGGGAGACGATCAAGGTGTGGTTAAAGTTTGAATACAACTGGTTCACCTGCTTATCTTGATGTGAAAGACCATAAATGGAGTAGAAAGGCATTTTTGTTTTGGATAAACACCTCTAGCAACAGGACGTGATGTACTAACAGAGATCCTACTGTGAAAATAAAATCTCAGTCATTCAGCACTGAAACCAAAGAGATGACACCTTCCTTAGATCTTCGATAAAATATTTCTAATCTCTTACTCATTGGCCTTCTCTCCATCCAACCTGTGAGTAACTGCAATGCGTTGTGCTACTCTAACTTTCAACAACACATTCCAAGAATTCCCAAGGCTCTAACTAAGCCAGCTAAATATACAGTCTGCTCGTCTGCCGGATGACCCTGAGCTACGTGACTCAACACAACAAATGATGCAACTGAACAACGGAGTTTCACAGAAACTGTGGATTGTCCTGTTTATTTAAGGAAATACGTAACAATTCCAAAGGTTAACAAATAAACTTTAAAACAAGCTTAAACAGCTGCAAGAAGGGAGTTGAACAGGCATCGAAAAATATGACTTAAAAAAATAAATATTTGTATTTGTGCATCGTTTTACTCAGTTATTACAATGACACTGAACCATAATGGCAATTTTTAGAAAAAAAAAAAACATTTATCTACAATATAAAATAGACATAAGATGCACCAATCAATCGGTTAGAGACAGGAATGGACAATCATCTTCTTTGATTGAGGATTATCAGGAAAAACACTGGAAAACCTGAAAACTGTTCTTAATTATTACATGCATAGACACAAATAATGCCTTTTTTAGTCTAAAATGTGTGTTTAGGGCATTTTTAGAATGAAATCATTAAAAAAAATAAAATACAAAAAAATCAGACAAAAGATTCCATTTTCTTTTTTTTTTTTTTTTACATTTTTGTTGAGTTATGAGCTGCAAGTTTAATAGAAAAACTTTTTTTTACAAGTAATAGAAGTTTGTTTTTCCTTTAAATATTGCAGTCAACATCAGAAACCAGCTGGGAAAAGCCTGAATAGTGCATCTCATGCAATAAATGTCAGTCTTTAAAAGTTAATCTCCACACTTTAACATCTATATATACAGAAAATATAAAAAAAAAAACTATTATTCACATTCTGACACTGACCTGAGGCTCATAATAAAACAAACACATTTCAAATTGCAGTGCTCTTAAAGTTCAGAGTTCATCTTTGGTTGAGTACTGAGCCGAGTGACGGTGGACTACATCACCAGTGCAGAAGAGAGGCACAGTGCAGCATCGGATCTGTCCGTTTTCTGTCTCTAACAATGGCTGCTCTCAGTGTTGGTGCTCCCCGACACAAATGATTTGCTCTTCTTGGAGTACTTCATGGAACTGAACGTGGCCTTCTCCCGTTCCACACTTCTGCTGCTCCGGCACAGCAGTGTGTTCTTCACGTGCTCCCTGAACTCGTCCGACACAAAGTAGTAGATGAAAGGGTCTATGCAGCTGTTGAGGCTGGATAGACAAAGTGCTGTGATGTAAAAGCCATAGAGGGTGTTTGGTTCTCCAGCTTTCAGCAGGGCGTAATGAACCACCAGCATGATGTTGCTAGGGACGAAGCATATGAGGAAGGTCACCAGGACAACTGCGATCAACACAATGGCTTTCTTGCGCGTCTTTGATCCTGTGCTGTCTATCACGTTGGTCGACAGGGTTTTGAGCAACAGGGCGTACGCCACAACGATCACTATGCATGGGACAAAGAACGCCACTGTGCTCATGAACATGAAGTAGAAGACTGGGTGCTTCAAAGAAGAATATCGATCAAACTCATTTACCGGTACTATTGTAACATCATGGCAGGTTGTTATGTTCATGCCTTGGATCTTAGCTGTTTGGTCATATAGGTACAGAGGAATAGAGCTGATCCAAATGAACACCCAGATGGCCACACAGACACCAATAGCAACTTTATTGTTCCTCTTTTGTGTGGACAGCGGGTGTGCCACCACCCAGTACCTCTGCACACTGAGACACGTGATGAAGAGCACCGAGCAATACATGTTCCCATAGAAGAAGCTCACAAGGACTTTGCACAAGGGCTCCCCGTACAACCAGTTGTTTTGTTGTGTATGGTAGGAGATCTTCAGGGGGATCCAAACGACAAACAGCAGGTCAGCCAAGGCAAGGTTTGCCATGTAGATGGAGGAAGGGTACTTCTTCTTGGTCCTGAAGAGGAACACCCATAGGGCCATCCCGTTGGCAATTAGCCCGACCACAAACACAATGGTGTAGATGATCGGGAAGAACACAGTGGTGAGGCCGCTCTTCAGTATACCTGCTTCCACAGCATTAACACCCACTTCATCTCTACCTTTTAACACAATTCCAGCAATACCTCGACCTAAAATAGACACAAAAAAGATTTTAGAGTTAAAACAGATTTGTGCTTGGAATTCCTATGTTTATTTACTTGAATTATTTGTCATATCTGTTATAAGGATCATATTAATGTGACACCTCATGCATTTTACTCCTGAAATGCTTATAGGCATAGGTTATACCAGGCCACTTCAAAAATGTTATTTTTGGAATGCTTAAAGCAGCAGAAAAAAAAGTTTTTCAATATATTAGGGCTGCAACTGACATTTTTTGCAACTTGATTAATCCGTTTACTATTTGTTTTCATTAATAATCTGATAGCCAAAGGTTCCTTTTTAAAATGTAATTAAACCAGGTGAACCTGAAATGTTTCCAGTTCTGGATAGATGCATAGACTGTCAACTTTTTTTTTTAATCTTTAATACAAAATGTTTATAAATCTTTTTTACAATTTTGGTATAATTATTGCTCTAA